GATAGATAGATAGATAGATAGATAGATAGATAGATAGATAGATAGATAGATAGATAGATAGATAGATAGATAGATATAGATGTGTTTATGTATGTGTACACATATAAATATGCACATTTCTTTATTATCCTTTTTTGTTAAATAGGGGCAGATATAAGATTTTTTTCTTCTTCTGCTTCCTTTCATTTTATGAGATTTGTGGGGTATTTTTTTGTTGTATTGAAATTTTTGTTTTTAAATCGAAAATTAATAAACTATTACACTAAACTAAACTAATATTAAGATTCATAAAATTAGCTTTCTGAATTGTTACACGTCCCTCCAGTTGCCTTTACCCAAACTACACCCAAGAAACTCTGACTTAGTGACGCAGAGACCACTAGTTGTTGAGAGTCGGAGGTGGAATCTTGGTCATGATGAGCCATAAGGTTGTTTGAACAAGACATATTATCTTTAGTGAACACTGTGGTCATATGTATTATCGGGAGTGGGTGTGGGGGTGTATGATCTGAGGCGTGTTGGGTTAACTTCTCCTGCTTTCACAGCCTTTCCATCACCACCAGACATAGTTCAACTTTTACATCTTTTTATTTTCTTCTTCCTGTATTTTAGCACTGGCCAACTGAGCATTGGTCTTAAAGGAGGTCAGGGGGGTTAATGTGTTTTTTAATCTCGAGAGCAGGATGAGATTGATGGTAGATTGAGTTGTTGTTTTTTTTCATTAGACTACCGTGTTTCTTTCTGCCTGTCGCTACAACGTGCATCAAATAGGACAGTCATGTTCAGGAAAAAAATGGTTAATTATTTATCATAACTTTGTGTTTATTTGGCCCATCAACACAATTTAAAAACTGGTGTATAATTTGAAGTCTCTACTTCTGACACAAATTGAAGCAGTCTCTGAGAAGGCATACCTTTCTGGCTATTGCAATTTAAATATCGTATTTATTCGTGTATAATATGATCTCAAGTATGATACAATCATCTTTTTTTGAGCTTTTTTTTATTTTTAGGGTTAAATTTCTAGTACTATGCATGAATAAATACAGTAGGTCATGCTACTAGGCTCCAGAGGGTTAAAACATCACTATAGTTTCTAAATACAATCATACTATTTTATTAAATACATATTATTTTAATAAAGTTTGGCTGAAGACCTACACCTTTAAATCCACTCCTGGGTTTGTTCCTGAGCTCTTGTTAGGTCATCTCTCAGTTTTACTCAACCAGTTTGTGCGCCGTTTATTACAAATGGTCCACGAGTTGAGCTGACAGGAGGTTTTAAACCGCCTCCCTCCCAGATGAAACCTCAAGCCTCAAAGTGGTCTGCATCCTCGCTGAGCCTCCAAGCTATCTCTTGGCTATTGAAGCAATAATCTGCAGATGTCATGCCTCATCCCACAAAGACTGGATTGTTCAGTAAAACTCTACTTGTCTCTTGCAGGTTTAATTTGATGCTAGTTTAAACAGATGGTTAAGTTGGTATTGGAAAAAAAACTAATTGAAGATAACTAAATGGTATTTTTAAACACAAACAAGTTCTTTTCATGCTGGCATTTATTCATGATTACTAACTAGTTGATGGGACTTCAGAAATACCTTCTGAAATGACTTTTTAAAAATATTTAAGCTTTGAACATGAACGTCAGGCTATTCAAGTAAATTGCTCAGGAGGCCAGAGTTACTTCAAGGGGCCAGACTTCCAACAGGATGGGGGAGGTTTGCCCCATAATGGTATGGGAAATGCTGCATTACGCAATTTTTTTTACCTGTATTTTATCATTATATTACTGGTAAGTTATCTTGATATAACACCCACTCTCCCTCTCCGGTTTCCTCAGGATGGAAATCACCCACAGGTCGGATGTGGTCCGTGGGCCGCCAGTTTAATACCCCTGCTGTATACCTGGTGCTAAAATACTGAAATAAATAAGTAAACTAATTATCAGTGGTGGGAAACAGCCTGCTAAATCGCAAATCCGCTAATTGCGGACCTAAATATTTTGTTTGCGCTTTAGCAGTCTTACTAATTTTTATAATTCATAAGCGGATTTGCGCTTTCTAAAATTAAAATGCAGTACTGCTAATAACTAATTATCTACCAGTCATCATTATCTTGAACAGTGAAAGGTATGACTGTCAATGAATCACAACACGTGATCTATCCAACAGCACCCCTCCCAGATAAACACACTTATTGGTAAGGTACACATCCTTGCTGACTGTTGCTTTGGGTCACGGTTCTCATTTCCCACAATGCTTTGTGTCTGCTTACGTAGCAGGAAGGCAATAGCAAAAACAGTTAACGTTTGTAATCCATACTAAAATTTTGTTTGTATTGATTTATTTTACTCTATAATCGGAGATCCTTTAAAAAAGAAAAGTTTAAACGCTGGAGCTCAATACTTGACGTAATTGGTCGAAGCAACGGGGTTAGAGACGCAGAAATGATTTAAAGATGTTATGCTGATGAAGACTGACATCTAGTGGTCAACTGGAGAAACTATATGGAAAACTTTAAAATCCAAGCTCTTATTTTGAAGTGAAGATAGTTTCCTGTTCTCCGTGCTTTCGTTTCCGTCATGTACCCAGAATGCATCGCTTCAGTTTTCCAATAATCAGTTTTAAAATTACTTTATTGATGCTTCTTTAATAAAAAATCTACAACAAACAAAAGAAAAAGACAAAGAAGCAGCCGAACTAGCAATCCTCAACAACTTTTTAATTTTTACACCAGGAGCTAAAAGGTCTGTTTCAGGAAATCATATCCCCAGCAATCGGCGGTTGTAGAAATAAGCTGTAAAAGGGTTCATACACCGCTAGTTGGCAGTACTGTACATATATTGAACATGAATTGCCAGCTAGTAAGTGTCAAATTAAACTTGTGCTTTAAAATTAGCTTATGCTAGTTTTTCTATGGCATAGGCGGTTTTGAGGTTGCGGACCTAAATATTTTCATAAGTGCTTTAGAAATTGCGGAGCTAATTTTTGGATTAGCGCTGCCCACCACTGCTAATCAGTCACTTAAGGGCTCGACACACGGGGAGCGACAAACTACAGCGATTAACGGCTGTCATCGCAGCCAGGGTGAAACCCGACACACGGGACGCGATAGTGATCGCAGCGTTGCGAATCGCGCTCTCAGATCGCTTGTCTTCACGAAATTTGATTGGTTCTTGACTCTGAAGGCGGGTGTGCATTACGGACGTGTAAACTAAACAAATATTGCGATGCTAATGATATTGAAAAACAAACACACATCAAGATACAGTTTTATGAGGAAAAACTTACCATAAACTTAACCGTGGTGCCAATAAATTCCCATAAAGCTTTTTAGTAATCACTTGGTTAAAGTGTTAGCTAACTGCAGTGTGTAGCATACTCTCCTCTCATTGGTCAGTCAATGAAACCCTCGCTGACTGGTTGTACGCTAAGCGACAGCAACAAAAGTTGAACATTTTTCAACTTTCATATGTCGCGTCGCAAGCTCGTGTGTGCACGTCTACGTGTACGAGCACGAAATTTCACATGCACTATTTTCGCCGGTCGCTTAGCTGGAGGAGGGCAAGCGATTGTCGCCTCACCGCACAGGCTCCATAGGAAATGAATGGAGAGCGGGCGACGTCGCCTCCTGTGTGTCGAGCCCTTTAGTCAGAAGAAAAAGACTCTTTAGCATCAAAGAAAGTTTTAAAATACCATTGCGATTTTGAATCCGGCACCACGAGGTCCCAGCATGTTGTTCAGCGGGATCCTGCAGTCCTCCAGTATGATATTAGCGGTTGACGAGGCTCTGATGCCCAACTTGTCCTCCTTTTTCCCCAGAGACAGTCCTGGATGTGGCATGGGGATGAGGAACGCACTGATACCCTGCAGACACGAGAGGAACAAAATATAAAATTTAAAAAAAAAGTCATTTAGAGGAAGTGAAAGGCTGCTGCTTCAGTTTTATCCATCATGCCTTGTGCTTTAGTTTCTTGTCTGTGGTGGCGAACACCACGACGGCAGAGGCTTCCCAGCTGTTTGTGATCCAGGCTTTGGTACCGTTCAGAACCCACTCGTCTCCTTCCTGACGGGCCACGGTTGAGGCTGCGCCTGCGTCGCTGCCGTTACCTGGGATTGAAATCTGCTTCATTAAAAACTGTATCTGAACGGAAACACATCCAGACTGATGAGCAGATTATTCATTAACAGCTTACAATCAATTGTGTTTCTGTGTTTTGGTTCAAATGATCATTTTGCAGATGAACACACTGAAAAATAAAACATCTTTACACTTTTGTCCAGAGTTGTAAAGTAACTAAGTACAAATACTTTGTTACTGTACTTAAGTAGAATTTTTGGGTATCTGTACTTTACTTGAGTAATTATTTTTCAGAGTACTTTTTACTTTTACTTATTATATTTTTACACAATCTTCTGTACTTTCTACTCACTACATTTTTTTAAAAAGGCAAGAAGTAGAAAGTCGTTACTCCTATTTTATTCAGAGTTGTTATTACTTAAAAAATACTATCCTGATAAATTGTGTCTCCTGGATAGAGTGAATTTAATTGTGGTTGGATGAGAAGTATAAATATATACAATTCTGACACACTATTAGCTTGTACACAACCCATCACAGCTGCATGCCGTTAGAAAAAATATTTTTTGGAGAAGTCACCTCCCAATAAATGTCATTTTGGAAAACCTAACTGCTCATTTTTACTCAGTACTTTTACTTTTAATACTTAAGTAGATTTTGTGTCAGAAATTTACTTTTGATACTTAAGTACAAAAAATATCAGAT